CAGCGTGTTATAGTGAGTCATGCGTAAAAAAAAAAAAACTGGCTTTAGGTCATGCACTTGTGCGCTGTAGGTAGGTGTACAACTACGGCACTGTAGTTTACCGATCATGCGAGGAGTCTTAGTTGTGTTTATCTGGCCGTGGTACCACTACATAGAAATATTACTATCACATAAACTGTGAGACTTCGGTACTTACACTGAACTTAACACAGAGTTACCGTGCGTAACCGTGTGCTTTTAAGAAAACATAAAAAGCCCAGACGTTGACAATCAATTCAGACGGCATGCCTTATATATAATGTCGTATAATTTCACTCACTGAAAAGTTAATCTCTTTTACATTGTTTTCAGCGTTCGTGTGGCATTGTTATGGCGACCGACGGAAGGTAGTAGTAATTTTTGTCTGAAAAAAAAAACATGATTGTCCTATTAACCAGGCCTTTGTTCTAGCACCGCCATGCACGTAATCCATCGATGAAAGCTTTCTGCTGAACTCTTATATAAGAATTTCACTGGTGCAAGAACATGAGTAAACGCAGTGTATAGCGTAAAACGCCGTCAGCCACTAAGCTTTCCCGACTAGACTTATCTACTGCCCCACAATTGGTGGTTAACAGAATGAGAATGAGGTTAACGCGCGCCAACAACATCCCAGAGAGGACTATGGCGGCGCCAAGAACGCCTTGTGTTTTGGTCTATAAGGTGCAAACGGGGATACTGAACGAATCGCACAGATATGCGAACTTTCTACGATCTTTCTTTCTCTTTTTTTTTTGTAGTATTCAGATGACTAAGATGCAAAGTAGTAGTTCAGTCATGCTACAGCAGTGCTTATAGCAGGCGGAACACAAACTAACTACGAACAAACAACACAGCAAAGGCGTGTTTTAGTGCGAAAGCATGAAGAGAGTCACCCAGGGCGAGCATCCCTATGAAAGGCAGAATGAGCTTTACTCGCGGGTAATGTTCACGTTGCATAGGCATCGCGCACCGATTCAGTAGAAAAGATCGGAGATATTAACAGTGAACTGTAGTCAACGCAGATTATCCGCCGACAATCGGCTCAGACCGCACGCAACGAAGCGCCACTGCGTATATTTGTAACGCACCGCCGACCACCCATCTACACTTGCGCGGGACGGTGCGCGGGACACTGGCCGCACCCAAGCGCGGTGGGAATTACATGAGCAAATTGAGCCCCGGCACGTGCGATGTGGCTGTGCGGGTAGCGCCTGGACAGGCCCCAACCTCCACGTCCTTGCGCTTGTCCGCGCGTTCATCAGTCCATCCGTGCGTCCACTTCGCGCGGTCTGTCCTCGCACTTCTGAAGGATGTTGAGCTTCCAGACAGACGTCGGTGGACGAGGCACTGACATTTGCCGATTCCTCGTTGGTCTTTGGCACGCACACTGGTATTACCACGAGGACGGGCTGCGGAGACCTTCGCCCCAATCGTCATCATTCACCTCATGGATACGACGCGATTTTTTTTTTCGTACACCGAGCAGCCAATAACGCTGTTTGTTACACGTGGCGTTTTTCTGTTTGTAGTAGCTAGCGTGCATAGTTAAAAAATACTGTCAACAAAACAAACAGCTTTCACGGCTGGGCGTTTCGTGCACACATTTCCGTTCTTGAGAGGCCCCCAGCCAGGGAACGATCCAGAGTGAGGCGCGAGCGGACGGGAAAGAGGGGCGCAGGGGAGAGAGGGAGCGAACGGAGAGAGGAGCGGCGAAGCACTGCGCCCACCCTCTCTCGCACCACATGCTCGGGCTGCTAGGGGTGAGAATAGCACGTGCGCCCGCAGCTGTAGCTATGGGAGAGAGAGTGAGTGTGAAAGAGGGTATAGGTCAGGCATCCGGCGCGCGGACAATGCCGGATGCCTGACATAGCCCGACTAAAAATGCACTATCATTCAAAAGAACGTGCGGCATGTTGCGCGCCGCCGAAGCAGTAGGACGGGCCTATACTCGGCTACTGTTCTTTTTTTTTTTTGGCACTGAAGGGAAAGCCAGGGAGCCAAACCGCGTGCATCCTGCCGCCAATGAAGGTAGTTCCAGAGTAGCATCCGTATTTTTAACGTGAAATATAAATGTACCTCCTTTATTTTCTACGTGAAGCTATTTAAGACAGGACGCAGCTCACACCAGTAGGATATTCGAATTTCCTTTATCTGTTGTGACTTCCCGTTTTTGAACGCGTGAAAAAGTCCAGCCTTTTTACATGCTCCTCAAACGCTAAACGGCGCTTGCATCTACATGAAACGCTGATGGTGCGCCCTCGTCACTTCCACAACATTACGAGACGCATGCCAAAACGGACTACTTCGCGTAGTGCTACATGTGCAGAAGCTTTGCATTCATAGCTTTTCCTTTCAGTGCCAAGAAAGGTTGTCACCGAGTATAGTTCACTTCACAACCACTCTGGCGCCACCACTCCTCCCAGAAGAAAAGCTTTCATGCGCATTGCTATGTGCGACAGTGGGCCGTAAATAATGCGTTTCGTGGTTGTACATCACAAGTTCTATTCTGAATCGTTATTAGGAGTACCTATTACACCACACATGTGAACAGTTTGCCCTAGCAGGGCCAATCTTTCGTCGTGTATATTCATCAATACTCTCCATGAATGCTGCCCTTTTGACTCATTTGAAATGATAAGGGTCATTGATTCCGTTCATGTGAAGGCAATCACCGGGCATATTCCTACAGCTGCCGTATCAGCCAACGTTACTAGGTATCGGCCCACTGAAACGTACCACGACAGCATGCACAACTTAATTGTAGGTCCTTTTAGTGAACCAACAAAGCCAGTTGTGGTCCAAAGACCGAGTTACAACACAAACAAATATGTGTTTTCAGTAAAGGCACCACACTAACTTGCACACTTGGCAGGTATCAAGTACAACACACAAAATCACCGAGAGAGTATTTAAAACCACAGGAACAAACTTACCGCACTACAAATGAAATATCACGTACTTTAAATTGCACAAAAATGTTTGGCAGCCTTGATTACTCACCACACGTGAGTACTCCCCAATTATTCAAACGTGTGTCGAATATTTCTCTTCAAGGAAACACTGAAACAAACTCCAGCGCTGACCGTCTTCCTGGTGAAAATTTTCAAAGCAGTACTCCCACCATGGCACCACTTGATTCTTTAATATCAACTGACCGGCACAACACAACTAACTCCAACCGTTCACACATCGTAACTTCTTGTCCGAGTTCACCACCCCACAGAACACCTGACCACCCATCCTACCACAGAGGAAGGAAGTTTTTTTCCTTTCTCCATGCATCCTACCCTTCGTCACCTCTAGTAGAGTGTAGTACACTGTACCTCTAGTTTCGATTCTTCCCTGTTTTGCGAACACTTCAAGTACGGCGTGTAGGCTGTAGCACATACCAGCTCGGGAAAGGGTTTCAGCTCGATGGTTCATCTGCGGCAGTGTTACCAAATTTTGGAGAGCAAAAATAGCTAGCTTGCACATACCCGTAAAAAACTTGCTAGAAATGGATAAAAAATCCACCAAGAAACTAAAAAAAGTTGCGGAACTAATTTTTCAACATAATTTAGACATATTCAACGAATCTACTGGCAGTCCTGTTATTTTACAGTCTAAACAGAGCTATCAGGTAACATTTTTTTTTTGCATGCAACTACCCAGAACGTGTATGAACTAAGTGAAAAGTGCTCCTGCTAAAATTTAAATAATTTAGGGCAGGTGTTGTTTTAGCAAAGCGTAAAAGCTTGTGCGTTCATCAAAGATGAGCTGGGGATGCATCAGAGCTCTGTAAAATTTACAGGTGTGCAAATATTCGAAAAATATTGAATAAGGAACCAAATAACGCATAATAGAAGCGAATAATTTTTGTATCAGCACGGAGTATGAGAGCCCAATGGAACACCGCGTTGGAAGAGCGACGGGTCGTTTTCGTTGCTTTTTTAGTGATTCACCAAAATTCATGGAGTCGAAGGTGCATTCAAGATTTATGCACCTCAGGTTACACCAAGTCAGACTCTTATAGAAATAAGCTCTCCTCAACACCGGGTGATTATTTCTTATTTTAAATTCCAGTGTGACTGAAGCAAACGTGTCTTCAATACCTCATCATTTTCATCAAATTCCTATCACTCACTCAAGAAAGAATGTTTACCTGTGGCGACTCGGCTGGTGAGAAAACTGGAAGTGAGTTTACACTAAAGCACGTATTAAAAAAATTTGGAATCTGCACCATCTAATCATAAATAGATGTATAAAGTACTCTCCCTTGAGAGAGAGAGAGAAATAGAAAAGGCAGGGAGGTTAACCAAGCTTGGTTTGGTTGGCTACCCTACCTTTCCCTCTAAAATCATAAAAAGACAGTAGTACAAGTATGAAGCTGTGGCCGTAAACGAACTTAACTATGTTGTCGTTTTAGACATTGTCATACATTGAGCTTTCACTCTGACGTGAGTTATTTGACTTTAGTGCCCCTTTAAATTTATTGTCATGCCGCCTGCAAGCACGAAAAATAAAATGATGTGAAAACACGTGGGTGCAAGCAGCACATCTCATGGCAATAGAAATGCAGCAGCACATTGTTTCCCAAAAGGCACCACACAATGGAGGACTCAATGCAGCTAGAACTTGGGCACCAGGAATTTAGTGGCCTACACTAAGCTATTTTGCCGTTCCCGATTGCTAAAATTAGGCAGCAGAGCCATTCTCGCTGAAGAACTCTTTTCACTTGAATTCCATAGCATTACCAGACTGAGAACTCTATAAATTAACTAATATATTGTTGTGTGAAGTATACAACATTAAAGAGGTCTCAAAATAGACTCTTCAATAATATTCAAGATGGATGGGCGTCAATGTGCCTATGCATTCAAGACTGCACACGCTTTCACAAATGTACCAATCCTACCATTGCCAATTGTCCCTATGACGTAGAAATCATTTGTAATGTACAGCCACAATGTAGGAAAAAAGGAATAGATCAACACAGGTAAGCATCGTGAAACATTAAGCAATTCATTTTATTCCAGGTATTATTGGCACAAATTTTCCAACAGCACTTTGTGCCTTACAGCATTTTTGGGCAAAATAATGTCGGCCTGCCGTATCCATTCGGTGCACTGAAGCAACTTTGTTAAGCAAGACAGTAAGTGCAGGTTAACCACTCATGAGTCTAGGCTGTCACTTCTTTTTTACTTGAGGCAAAACCACAACGACATAAGTGATCACTACTACAACATCAAGAATAAATTAAAACGAATGAAAATAAACAACTTCACTTTTAAGCAGAACCAGCCAATAAAACTGTTCATGAACAGAGGCACATAAAGTTACGCTTGTAAAAAACAGCAGCAAATAAACATCAACAGCTTTCAGATGCCATACCACTCTTCGTTACAATCACTGCAGTAATTTGTCCACTTATTGGCAGCATTCATTAAACAATCAATGGTTCAGTTACTTCAATTTCCCAGCCTGATATCACAGACACACTGCAATCAATACTCTGCATTGTCTCTCAAATGAAACCGACAATCCATTCATCTGCAAATACACCCACATTCGTAACATACACTATGCTAATGTGCAGCAGCTTTCATCGCAGAGCACGTACGAAATACAGCAGTCAACTTAGATGCTTTAAATATGTTTATACTAATGGCTAAAAAAACGCGATTTCACAGTTCCTTGTGAGCACACTGGTGGAGGTGCAGTTCCGTAAACGCTGCCTTGCAGAATCCTTGCAGCAAGTTCATGGTTTCATACATGGCCAATGTGTAAACAAATGTTGAACTGGTGACGTCCCAAGCACTGTTGCGATGACAATATTCTGACAGAAATTTGTACAGTTTCTTGCTCACTTGACGAGGCTCTGGCCGCGTACCATGCTCTCCAATTGATCCAAGTCTTTGAAATCCAATTTCTTGATGGTTCGTGCTGCCGAGAAAGAAAGAAGAAAACAAAATGTATGGATTGACGTTTAAATCCTGCGGTTTAAAAGCTTTAATCCTAGTTTTAAATCCTTCACTTAAAGGAGCACTGACATCAATTTTCAAGATCGAGATGTGCCCATCATTCGATCGCTTGTTATGCATAGGTCTTCTTGGCCAAATTTGAACGGCATCCGTCGCGTGAAAGTTATTTTAATTCGATGTCGAACAGCGTAGAAAAGCTAAGGGGAAAAAACGGTAAATAGACTGCCCTGTGACATCAACACTAGTGCTACGTGTTCGGTGCGATACATTCCACAAATATTATCCCGAGTGACGATGCCCTAGTAGCGATGACGTGTACGATCCGACTGTTTTTATCGTGGTGTCGACTGGCGCCAAAGCGCAAAAACGCACTCGCTCCTTGCATCAGATCTTCGTGGCACCGGTTTGAATGAGTTCATGAAATTATCAAGATAAAATCCACCTTTAAAATAACGGCGAAAGAAAAGAGCATTATTAAATGTGTGTTTGTCGGTCAACATGTTGGGAGAATCGTTGCGAGTTGCAGGCGAGTTGCAGTCGTCTAGTTTGAAGCACGGAAAAAGCGAAATGAGGGTGTTTTTCATATCACATATGACTTACACATCATAAGACCACAAGCTATCAAAAGTGGAAGAGCCTATAGTCAGATATCATCGTTGACAAGTAACATGCAAGTATCGTTGAATTTTAGTTCGTAGACTTCGCGTCCACATAAAAGTGGTAATACCGTGTTAACCGTGAGAGGCTCGATAGGTGGTGCCATCTGGAGGCACAAAAAAGAAGCTGGCAAGCAGGAAACGTATTCTATTTCTTCGCTGATGCTCATTTGCGATAGCTATATTGCATTGACCCCTTTGCATATACTTGAATGCTTTGCACGCCAAAACACACCAATATAACAGAGACACACAAGCTAACATTGCTGAGGTGTGCATCCTCGAGCACCTCTGCAGTGTTGCTTGGAACGGCGTCCATTTCGGAATCACTGCTCTGCAAAAGGTCAATTGAAGCAAAAATAATTTGCGTCGCGAATCGCAGGGATTCCAAGCTCCACACTATCGTACTGAACCAGAGTCGACACTTTATACAGTGACGACAGCAATGCAGGTGACAAGGCATGACTGAATGTGTCCGCCTAGCAGACGAAATGTTTTCGGGGGAGCTGAGCCTGACGTCACTCTTTTCTGTGGAGAAGTGGTCAGCCGTAGCGTGATCTGGAGGTGACCGCGAGGTAGCGCCGCTGCTGGTGCTCCCAGCGTTAAAAATGGCGGGATTGCCGGCCGTTTTGACTAGTGCTACATAACAGTGATATAAATCAATAAAAGTGATAGTAATTCATCCCTCAGTTGCGTTTTAGGTCGCGAATCACTGCTACGGGGTCTATAGCTACTCGCTGACGCAAAAAATCTTGGCATGAGTAAAGTTAATGTCAGTGCTCCTTTAATACAGCTCAACTACCCTCGAACCTCATTATAACAAAGTTGCATCTTGCACAAAAATAAGTTTGTTATATAGAAAAATTCGTTGTAAAGATTTATTCTTAACTCTATAACAATTGCAAGAATCTTCTTAATTCCCTTCATTATAACCAATATTTCATTATATTCGGGTCTGAGCGTACTGTGAAACTCGAGGAGGAAGTGCGTTGCACAGGCACCCAGCAATTCCCGTTCGTTCAGTTCCCACTGATATCTTGCCAAACTCCCAAAGACGTCTGCATTTGAGGCAAGCATGTACCGTTTCTCCAGCACAAGTGAAATTTTGTTTGGGAGATTCACAAGCTCTGTGTGCGACATTCAAGCAACCTTTTGCTTTACTTTTTTGAGTTCCTCGTTGTTACAGCAGTTGAGATGTCTCATTTACAGCACTTCCGGCAGGTTGTTTCTCGCTTCAGCTGCAGCGAAAAAGCGCCAGCTAAGTGCTGGTGGGGGGAGCAATCGCACACTTTGCAAAGGAGCGGCACTCTCTCTTGTGCATAGGGTGTCAGCCACATGTTTCCTAAGCATGTTTAGCCATTATTCACTAATTATGGTGATTACTTCTTGGATATCTCTGTCAATTTTGTCTGTCAAGAAAGCGCTGCGATTTATTCACAACGCATACAGCAGGCGAGTATCCGTGACAGAACTGCGCAGGCGTTCTGATCTACCAACACTAGAGTCCCGCCGTAAATTACATCGACTTAAAATATTACACAGCATAGTCAATGGCTATTCAAAGCTTGACTTCAATACTTATCTCGAATTCAACATGTCACGCCCCACCCGGAACAAGCACAACAAAACAATCCTAATGCCTTTCACGAGAACAAACGCTCACCGTCTATCCTTTTTCCCGAGAACGATAGCAGAATAGAACACTTTGCCACGCGACGTTACTAACTTAACTAATCAAAATGCTTTTTCAACGGCTATTCAAAATTGTGTATGATTGGAAGTGCTGGTCTTGTTCCCCTGTCCTATTGAACTAACGTATTTCACGTGTTATCTTGCTACCATGCCACAACGCACACTGCTTGTGTTTTTTTTTTCACGCTTTCTGGTCAATGCGCATTGTGTACTTTGTGTGTTTTGCATTAGACTAGCATTGCCGGTTTTATTGTATATTCATGTAGCTATTTGTAACGAGAATTACTGCCGCTTTGCGAATCGTGGGCCGTGTTACTGATTGCGTGCGCTTGTGTGTCGTGACAATCTGTAAGCTTACTGCATTATTGCTTCCCTGTGTACCGCGGACCGTGTTACTGGTCGCGTGTAAACTTTGTGTACAAACTCTGCACTGTACCACTCCTGCCCTGGCTGCCAAAGGGTGGCTGGCAGTATTGAATAAATAAATAAATAAATAAATAAATAAATAAATAAATTTTATTATTTTAGACATTCACAGTTTTAAGCCCTGCTAGCCTTTTTTTTTTTTCAGGCCTGTACTAAGCACTTGACAGCATAACCACGACGTCTATGAATGAACAAGCCGGGCCCCTAAAAAGCTACGCACTCGGAACGAAAAAAAAAAAAAATTCAATAACAAGCTGTAACACAAGCTTTTAACAAGTTACGTAATGCTTCAAATTCACTAGAAATTCGTTGTTATAATCGTCAAGTTAATCACAGGCACTGGCCAAGCATGTGAAAGAGGCAATGTCTTAAAATTGCATACAGGCTGTTCTCGCTTACTAAAGATAAGCTGCCATCACTTACATACCCAGACTTATTATGATGTCATGTGTTGCAAACATAAGAGAAATACCATGTCCACCTCAGCAAGCAAACAATCTGCACATGGTTCGAAAACTTCAAAGGTTTGTCAGGTTCGGTCATTGACTGCGATTTGCTAATAAATTAATACCTGACCAGATGGACTTTTTTTTAACTCTTAACCATTAGAATAGTCTGTTCTAGGAGCTCTATTCCTTTCGTAACAATGTCTTGTACATAAGATAAATATAAATGTTTTATGAGCATTTACTTCAGTTTTCTGCCACCAGGTGCAAAATCAAAACGAGTTCACTGTGTACCACATTGTGCTCACAATAATGTTGGGCTATGCAGTCAGCAAGTGCTAGCATACAGAATGATTTCCAGAAATATATGTTGATCTCATAAAGTGTTAGTGACACGTGAATTTTTTTTCCTCTATTCTCTCTCTCTCTCTCTTCTATATTTTTAAAAAGGAGTCTATTGTAAGCTGAATTGAAAAAATGACCATATAGCCGAGTCAGCTCTAACAATCTTTTGCCAGTGTGTTTATAATGTCCAAACATGTCAAACTTATACTGCACTCATAATGTACACAGCCTACTATCATCATTACTTAGGTGTAACACTTACACTTGGCTTTTTAATTGAAACATTTCACTAAGCTTTAATTGGCCACATGGAAGATGCCTAAATGGCAGCTCCAGGACAAGATTATCATCATTCTCAGGATTTCGTTCGTGCTGTCCTTTGTTGCACGAGCATTACGACGATGATCAGACTTGAAGAGTGAATGGTCCCTCCTGGCAGGAAACACCATTCAATCCTGCCAAGGAGGACAATTTAAGCTAAAAATTCGATAGATGTCCATGTTCTGCTATTTTCATAATGAAAAACTAATCCCCCACGCACCATACAAAGCATCCTTAAAATGGCCAACAATAACAAACTCACCAAAGTGCTCCTCAATCTGCTTAATGACTTGCAAACCACGGCTGCCCTCAACCAAGTTGACAGCAAAGCCACTCTTTCCAAACCGGCCAGTGCGCCCAATGCGATGCAGGTATGTTTCACAATCAGCCCGCCCCTTCATGTCAACTGGAAGGTCAAAGTTTATGACCACAGTCACCTGCTCCACATCGATGCCTGAAAGTAAGCAAGTCCCAAAGAAACACATTTGGTCAAAGAAGATTCATGAAGCTGACCCAGACAATTCAACAACAAGAAAATGACTGAAATGCCTGTGAACTACTTCTCATACTAAAGCAATAGCACTAAAAAGCTTGTTTCACAGAAATTCCGGCATCGTTGATTCTGAGTGAAAAATCATCTTGTGCATGACCACAAAATAGAGAAAGATGCAAATAATGTATAAAATAAATACTAATACAGAATTCTGGGTCCAAGTGGAGATCGAACCCGAGCCATTGTTCCAAGCAGTTGTTCGACCATGGAGCAACGCATCTGATTGTGAATACAGAGAAAATATGCTTCCTCTGCTTATAAATGCAGTGAAAGTAACTTTCATGTTTTACAAACACATCCTTTACAATACAAAATGAAATATTGCAGTAGTAATGCATAGTGCAAGCCTACAATGTCATCGTACATTAGAACATGTGATTATCATAATGACATTACGGTTTAAAGCCAGTCCCCCACTGCGAAAAGACCACACATTACTACGCCTATTCCTTACGGCCACGTGTATAGCGAGTCCAAAAAGATTTCATGCACTAGAGACAGGATATCACTATCACATTCAACTCTTAAAGGCAAAGCTTAAGGGTCCCCCAAATTTTCTTCTGATATTTTGAGTGCCTCAAGTTCACAATGCTGTCATGATCAACAATAACAAAAGCAGACAGCACTACGTGCTACGGGTGAACCAAAAAATCAAAATCTCATGCTCCTTTCCAGGCCTTGTCGTTACTGCCAGTCACGACATTGCCTGCAGAAGATGCTGGTGGCAACATAACAAAAATGGTGTTCGTATGTTACCAAATACACCCTCTATTTCTCTTGCTTGTGGTGTGCAGAACAAAAGTTGGAGGGAGAGAAGAGCCAAGAAACTGAGCATAGCAAAGAAAAAAAAGTAAGCGAAGTGCACACTCTAACCGTCAAACTTGTGGGACTCTACTATTGTGGCATTTCGAAAAATCTTTGCGGTTACGTGGTCAATGTAGACTTGTGCACAACTACAACACCACAACTAACTTTCGACTTCTGGTTGGTTCGAGGTCTTCTAAGAGGGATGGCAAACCAAAGATAAGTGCGTCACGTCGTTTCCGTGGGCTCGTTTTTGCAGTTTTGCATACTGATTGATTTGATTGATATGTGGGTTTAACGTCCCAAAACCACCATATGATTATGAGAGACGGCGTAGTGGAGGGCTTTGGAAATTTTGACCACCTGGGGTTCTTCAACGTGCACCCAAATCTGAGCACACGGGCCTACAACATTTCCGACTCCATCGGAAATGCAGCCGCCGCAGCCGGGATTCGATCCCGCGACCTGCGGGTCAGCAGCCGAGTACCTTAGCCACTAGACCACCACGGCGAGCCGTTTTGCATACTTCCCTATTGCAAACAAAGGGTGATCGCAAGTTATTTCAATCAGGAAAAGTTGTTACAGGCCAAAAACAGAAAAATATGTGGCCCTCAAAGGCTGCTTCGCCAAGTCTCAACAACTCATCGTAAATCAAGCCTGTCAAGGTTAACACAGTAGGGGTGTCCAAATATTCGAACCTTCGCGTATTTTAAGTGTGAATACACTTTATAAGCGACCGCAAACCATCCACCGCCATCGGCGGCGTCTGCAGTCTTCTCTCTATCTTTAAAAAAAAAGAGGACTTGGCGGGCCGCAGTGCGACGCTCTACCGAATAAGCCACGGACGCGACGCTGATATCGGTGTCAGTAACGCGCCTTATACCCCCTCCCCTTCGCTCGCTCCTCCGCTCTCCTCGCTCGCTGCAGCTGCGCGCGCACCCCTCTCTCTCGCGCGCCCGCCTTCTCTCTCAGTCTCCCGTCGAGAGCGGGTCGTCAGGGGGAGTAAAGTTAAAATCCGTTGGCATTCACCAGTGAGTTAACGTAAACTCCCCCGTGTGATCAAATTGCGATTCCCAGGAACCATTACACCATAAAGGCACCATAGTGTGATAAATAAATACAAGAGTGCGAATTAATAAATACCCCTCATAGCATCACCCCGTGTATTCGCACTTAACCATGTTCACCCTCGGGGAAATGCTTGGGAGTTTTCTGTTTGAATAATGTCTGATATTTGATTCGATTCATTTTAGAGTTCTACACTCTTCGAACTTCCGAAAGATATATATATATATATATATACAGTCAACATCAGATTGGCAGTGGCCCTTTCAGATTTTCAATATTCATCACTCATTACACTCGCATTGCGGCACTGCTGTCTTTTAGGCTTTGCTACTGTTGCATATGTATTGAATCATGAAAATGCCGGTTCCAACATAGAGATTATAAATGTGGCAGAGGTGGGGGCTCAATTAATGGCATTTTCGACCTGAAATTGGCAAAAAGAAAATGCCGAAGAGTTTTAGCACAAAAAAAATTCAGATGCCCATATTGTTACGAGTAACTTATTTATTAAATTATATACGATGGACCGTGCTCGGCGAACAAGATGGTGACAGTTCATCAACAACCAGCAACCGACATCGTCTTTCTCTTTCATGCAGCAAGGCTGTGGCGGCGGCTGTTGTGTATTATAACCTCCCGGCGGTAGAAGCACCGTCTCGATGCTTGAGTTACTCCGATGCAGTAGAAGGAGAATAATAAGGCTTGAGTCAAGCTATGTGCATGATGTCGCTTGAAGCTGACGATGATGACGTTGGATCGGCTGGAACGATCTCGTATGTAACGTCAGTCACTTGGCGAACGACGTGGTATGGTCCAGTGTAGCGTGACAGCAGTTTTTCAGAAAGACCTACACGCCGGGTGGTGGACCAGAGAAGGACAAGGGAACCCGGTGAAAAGTGCACGTTTCGATGATGGTAATCGTAGAGCTGTCTTTGGTGCTCCTGTGAGGCCTGCAGATGGCTGCGGGCGAGTTGGCGTGCGTGGTTGGCTCGTGCGATGGCTTCGCCGGCATACTCAGTGACCGAGGGCAGCAAGGTGTCAAAGGGTAAGACGGGTTCTCGGCCGTATAGAAGATAGAATGGCGAATAGCCGGCAGTCTCGTACGTGACAAATTATATGCGAACGTCACAAAGGGCAAATGAACGTCGCAGTCCTGCTGGTCAGCCACTACGTATTTAGAAAGCATGTCGGTTATGGTGCGGTTGAGGTGCCCCGCAAGACCGCTCGTTTGCGGATGGTCTTACATAAGACCATTCGTTTGCGCTTGAGGCACTCCGTAAGACCGTTCGTTTGGGGATGGTACGAAGTGGCAAACTTGTGCTTGGCAGAGCAAGAGCGCAGGATTTCATCAACGACAGCTGATAGGAAGGTCCGGCCCCGGTCAGTGAAAAGTTGGCGTGGAGCTCCGTGTACTAAAATAATATCATATACCAGAAAGTCCGCCACATCGGTTGCGCAATTTGTCGGAAGTGCTCGAGTGATAGCGTACCGTGTCGCATAGTCAGTGGCAACAGCAATCCATTTGTTGCCTGAGCTGGAGATCGGGAATGGGCCAAGCAGGTCGAGGCCCACTCGAAAAAAAAGGTTCAGTGGGAATGTCGATCGGCTGAAGGAATCCAGCTGGTAGAGAGGGTGACTTTTTGCGGCGCTGGCAGAGCTCACAAGGGGCGACGTAGCGTCGAAGAAAACGGGCAAGACCAGGCCAAAAGAAACGACGACGTACACGATCGTATGTGCGAGAAACGCCCAAGTGGCCCGCCAAAAGAGCGTCGTGAAGTTGGTTGAGGACAGTCGCACGAAGACGTGCTGGTATGACGGGGATTAAGTCATGGCCACATGGATAGAGGTTACGGCGATACAGGATGCCGTCTTTGACCAAGAACATTTGTAGAGATGCGTCGCGAGGCATTGACTCAAGCTTGTCAATGATGGTTCGCAGGGAAGCATCTCGGCGTTGTTCATGGCCAATGTTGAGTAGCTGCGTCACAGACATAAGGTCTGGAAAGGTGTCAGTATGGGCAGCTTCTTCCACAGGGTAGCGTGATAAACAATCCGCATATCCATGCAACCGCCCTGTTTTGTACGTTACGGTGAACGTGTATTCTTGTAAACGTAGGGACCAACGAGCGAGGCGTCCTGTGGGATCCTTGAGTGAGGCCAGCCAGCAGAGCGTGTGGTGATCGGTGACTACTCAGAATCGACAGCCGTACAAGTATGGGCGAAACTTGGAGACTGCCCACACAAGAGCGAGACACTCACGCTCCGTGATTGAATAGTTGCGCTCGGTAGTAGATAGCAGTCGGCTTGCATATGCTATAACATGGTCATGTCCGCATTGGTGTTGCAATAGCATTGCTCCTAGGCTGTGCCCACTGGCGTCAGTGTGAACCTCGGTTGAAGCTAATGGATCGAAATGAGCTAAAATCAGCGGTGTTGTAAGGAGGGTCGTGAGCTGGGAAAAAATGAGGCGTGATCAGCGCCCCAGAAAAATGGCGCATCCTTCTTCCAGAGGCTTGTGAGTGGGCGTGCAATGATCGCAAAGTCCTGAACAAAGCGTCGAAAATAGGAGCACAAGCCCACAAAACTGCAAATGTCCTTTGTTGACAAGGAATAATTTTGAAGTGGTAAAGACCGTCAGGAATGACGAATGCAGTCTTCTCATGGTCCATCTCGTCTACAGCGATCTGCCAATGGCCAGATCGAAGGTCGATAGTGGAAAAATACGTAGCACCGTAAAAGCAGTCTAAGGCACCGTCGATTCTAAGTAACGGGTAAACATCTTTCTTCGTAATTTTGTTGAGATGCCGATAATCTACACAAAAGCACCATGCTCCATCCTTTTTTCTGATCAGGAGGACAGGAGAAGCCCAGGGGCTACACGAGGGCTCGATTATGTCTTTTGCAAGCATCTTTTCGACTTCCTGTTGTATGACTGTACGCTCAGATGCGGAAACACGGTATGGACGTCGGTGAATGGGACTCGCATCACCAGTATTGATGCGATGGGTAACAACACTCGTTCGGCTTAA